AAAAAAAAAAAAAAAAATCTGCGATATCTGACTCCTCACCACCAGAGGGAGGTGTTCCTTTCCCTGATTCCTCTAAGTATTGTACTGGAATCCTCCGACAAGTTTCTGTAAAAAGAGGACACTTTAAGGCCCATATTTGACTCTCCCCCCTAATTCTTTTTTGGTCTAAGAACTCTCGGTTGTCAGTCTTTGCCCTCTTAAAGCTCAATACTCTTCCTACTTCATGACTTTGATCTGATGATTGAAAGAACAGCATTACCTGGGACTCAACCAAAACTGCATTTACTGCTTAGATACTGTCGAAGACTGTTATCAGACAGTGGGCAGCACATTCTGGATCTTGGCTTTCTGACAGCGTTGCTGGGCAAGTTTGGTGCCCGAAAGTCAACTTACTGACAGAAATCTTTCTCCAGTAGTCATACACACACACACGCGCGCACACACACACACACACGGCATATTATAAATGGATAAGGAGGATAATCACTTTCTAAATAATTAAATTTCCTCTATAAAAATAAAGGAGAACTGGCAAATTTGGGGAGAAACCTTCTGTAATTTCACAATAACTTAAGTGTAACTTCTTCCATGATCTAAAGGGATCATTTTTGACACGAATCTAAAGGAATAGCTCTAGAGGAAAATGATACAATTAGAAACATTTAGTGACACATCTAACCTTTGCTAGAAATTATCTTAATCTCATTAGCTTCCTAGATGGTAGTCTATACATAATCTGATGGTAGTCTGTAGATAATCTATCCTTTAGCTTTTTTCTAGGAACTGCCTATATAAACTATATTCCAGCAGAGGTTTTTCTGCCCCCTAAAATTTAGATAAAATTGGCTTGAAATTTATGCCCTGTGGAAAATCCAATGTCCTAACACTCCTGTGAATTCCTGGAGATTTATAATTTCATGGCCACCCTGGCTCTGCCTTCCTAAAATTCTTGGCTCCCATCTCTACCATATTATGGTTGTTTTTTAACTTTGTCCTATTACTGCCCCAAACATGAAGTTCAGCACCTTCCCTTGATTTGGAAGAAAACAAAGACACTCATCCAAAGTCAAAGTGAATGTCAAGAGACTTTACTAAAAGGTTTAGGAAATTGGAAGAGGCTTACATTTTTGAACAACTTAAATCACATATTAGGCACCAATTTCTGTCCTAAGAATTTTGTCAGCCTACTAAATTGTTTAGTTATACTATTTTTCTCCCTCCTCCATCTTCTCTTTTTCTGTTCATCTCCTCACTCCCAAATTTCTGTATAATTTTCTGTATTTTTATTCTCATCTCCTGCTGTTCATGCCCCTTGGGTCTTCTACTCCAAATATTTTTTCAAGATATTTTCATACATAAAACCTAAGAGGAACGCTGGTGCCAGCTGTAAAGACGAACATATTCTCACTGACACATACTTGTGCCATGAGGTTATCAGAGCTATTCTTTCTGGCCAGGCTTTCTCGGCCACCGTCTTGACTTGCAGAGGCGACAGCTAGTGTGCTAGCTGGGATGCTTCTGGTGGCCTATGCTACAAGGAAACTGGAAAAGAGACAGCATTGCATGTTGGACTAAACACAGAAAATGGGTTGGAGTATGGTATACAGATACATTTTCATGAGATATTTTGCTATTGACTAATATTAATTGAACATCTGTAAGGTTCTTCAGGACAAAAAATCTTGTATCTGATCCTATGGCTATATCAGGGATTGAAACTCCTAGGATAGTAACCAAGTCTAATTTCTCCTCACCCAGGCTGAGTGGAGAGAAGAAGTAAAAAAACACTTTGAGAAGATCAAAAGTGAAGGAACTTGTATACACCGCTTAGATGAAGAACTGATTAGAAGGCGCAGAGAAGAGCTCAGGTCAGCTGATCTCTCCTCCACCTCTTCACATCCCCAGGTCTTCAGATATGGGCAGGAACTCTCTTTGTGAATCACTATTTCACTTTTTACACAGCTTTCTTTCCCTTTCTTTTAAAAATCTTTATTGTTGAAAGTATTACAGATCTACACACTTTTCACTGTGCTATTTATTATTCTCTTTAAAATTTGCCCTAAAAGTTAGCCCTCCTTTATATCACTGTCTTAGCCTCTCCCCACCCCACCCTCAACTCTGTTACTCTCTTTTATTATATCTCTGCAGCAGAGATTCCTGGAGCAAGGCTATTTGTTCACTCAGCCCCTGTCCTAGGTAACATGGAAGGCCAGAAATTTATAAGAGGTAGTCCCCAGTCTCATGATGCTTATAATCTTTTAAGGGTTACAAGACATGTTCATAGATAACCAACTGGAATTAGGCAGGATCTGTGCTGTGGATAAATACTAATGAGTGATCGTGGTGTCAGCTCTAACTGCATATTTCCATTAACAATGAGTTATACTGTGTTCTTATGAAGATATTGCCAACACTACACAAAGACTAGACATGATACGCAAATCACATTCACATTTTATTTGTGGCCTCCTGGCTATTCTGTATGGCTGGATATGGCCCCTAAGGATAAACCAAATGGAAAGCCTAGATTTTCCATCTCCTGCTCCATATTGGCTGAGTCACTGCATCAGGCAAGGAAGCCTTAAATTTAGAAGGCCCTTGGGCAAATGCTTTTGAGATAAACCATCCTGGTTCTTATTTCATTAGAGCTTCTGTCCTCCCCCAAGTTAGTCGATTTCGCTGATCCTGTTTTCTTTGACAGGCATGCTTTGGATATTCGTGAACACTATGAGAGAAAACTTGAGCGGGCTAATAATTTATACATGGAGCTGAGTGCCATCATGCTGCAGCTGGAAATGCGGGAGAAGGAGCTCATTAAGTACGAATCCAGACCACTGTCTGCCCTTATTGATTTAGTCTGTCCATCAGCAGAAATGCCTTACTCTTCCATGTTGCTGCCACTCAACTGGCAGATATTTTATTCATTCGCCCAGCATTCCTTTGGGGATGTGCTGTGCACAGGTTCCTACCCCTGGGGAGGTTTATGGTTGAGTGGAGTTGCCACAGAGCAGAGCTGGTTCTCGGGGAACATGCATTGGAAAGCTGTTTGCAACTTGACCCTGCTGAATGGCTCGGAGGAGACTGATGTTAATGAGTGGGGTCTTATTGCCCCCTGGGGAAGTGAGGTGGCTTCTGCAAGTGGTTTAGGGTATTCCTGAGAAGGACAGAAAATCCCAGGGTCCTGACCAACACAGCAAGCTACCAAAATCAGTAGGATTTCCACCATTGTATTGTGTCTCTCATGAGGTATGTTGGGGAAGGGAAGGTCAGTCTCTGAATTCATCTATGAGCTGAAGGAAAAAATGAAGTCAAGTTAGTTTGAATTTAGTATCCCCCCCCCTTTTTTTGTACCTGAATAGCAGTATTGTTATCTAAATAGCCTGTATCTGGTAAGTGTTGTCAGAATTGTGGGTGTAATTAGCCTGTGAAACATTCTACCCACCTTTTCTGCCTGCAGTGGCTGAGATGGGCCTTTTCTTTCCTTCTACAGGCGTGAGCAAGCAGTGGAAAAGAAGTATCCTGGGACCTACAAACGACACCCTGTCCGCCCAATAATCCACCCCAATGCCATGGAAAAGCTCATGAAAAGGAAAGGGGTGCCTCACAAACCTGGGATGCAGACCAAACGGTGAGATGCTTGTGCTGACCTGGTATTAGAGAAATGGTGACATATCCCCCTAAAAATACATTATCAGATGATGGTGGGTGTGGCCACTCTACCTCATCATAGCAAATGTGTCTCTAGATAAAACAGAGTGGGAAGGTGAGAGAAAGTGTGTCGTGGACCCTAGGAATCCATGTTTTACTATCTGAGGCATAGAGAGTTATTATCTTAGCATGGACTAGTGAAAAGAGAGATAACCCAGGGCCAGACAGACCTGGGTTTAGACTCTGGCTCTGCCCATTATGAGCTGTGTGATTTGGGCCATGTCACGTGCCCTCTTTCAACCCCATGGGTAAAATGGTATAACTATAGCACATGAGATTTCTTTTTCTTTCTTTGACTCCTAATACATAGAATTGGGTTAATTATAATTCTTGATTTATGCAACATTGGTCCATGCATGGCCCACTTTTATTTATTCATTTAGTTAGTTCTTTTTAATAATGTAATAAGTGCCTGTAAATCCACCATCAAAAATGAAAATAAGGACTTTCTGTGCTTTTTTGTTTTGATTTTTTCGGCTTCACGAGTTTGCATGTCATCTTTTCTCGGGGACCATGCCAGTCTTCTCTGTATTGTCCAATTTTAGTATATGTGCTGCTGAAGCGAGCACATGGTTCCCTCATTCCACCCCTGCATGGGACTTTTGTGAAGTTTAAATAAGACAATGTTCAAACTCACCTAATAAATCACAGGTGCTCAAAGAATGTTTTTTTAAATAGCTGGGGTTTTTTTAATCCTCATCTGAGGATATTTTTCCATTGCTTTTCGGGGGGGGAGAGAGAGAGAGAGAGAGAGAAACATCGATGTGAGAGAGACACATCGACTAGTTGCCTCCTGCAAGCACCTCAACTGAGGTTGGGGATTGAACCTGCAACCAAGGCACGTGCCCTTGGCCAGAATCAAACCCAGGACCCTTCAGTCCAAGGGCCGATGCTCTAACCACTAAGCAAAATTGGCTAGGGCTAAATAGTTGTTGTTGTTTTTAATTACTCTTTTTCCTAATTGTAGTACATTTTCCTTATCAGTTGACCCTTGAACAACATGGAGATTAGGGGTGTTAACCACCTGCTCAGTGGAAAATCCATGTGTAACCTAATTCAGTCCTTTACAAACTCAGATTCCCAACTGCAGATCTAAAATACTGTATTAGTTTAACCTTAAAATGCTCCTCCAGTCAGTTTTTATTACCAAGTTCTGCTAGAACCTCATTTCTCCCAAGTATTGGAGAATTGACTCTGTCCTATAGCTAAATTAATGTAAAGGAAAGAAATGTCCTTAAACCTGGGGGGTGGACCCAACAGTGAGACTTGAGCTAAAGGCAGTAAGAATAAAGGTAATGAGAAAATGTAAACCAAGAATGTATTTTAAGGCTTTCAGGATGGTGGCCAGAGGCCATAACTAATGTAAATCTAAACTACCAGTGAGAAACCCCATGGATTAATCCCAGTTTTGTTTTTACTTACCACTCCTGACTATCACCTCGTCAAGTTCTGAGAAATTATTTTCAGATAGCTCATGGCAAGACCCTGGGGGAATCCCAACACCTCTTTTTTGGGGTGTACTAAATAGGGACTGAGTTTGCCTGCTGGCTTCTCCATGCATTCTGCCTATAGTTAAAATTAAGAGCATTGCCCGGCCAGGCGTGGCTCAGCGGTTGAGCGTCGACCTAGGATCCAGGTGATCGGGGTTCGATTCCTGGTCAGGGCACGTGCCCAGTTGCGGGCTTGATCAATGACTCATCATTGATGTTTCTATCTCTCTCTCTCCCCTCCTTTCCTCTCTCTGAAATCAATAAAGATATATGTAAAAAAAAAAAAAAAAAAGAGCATTAGGGGAGGGGGGAATAGTACCTTTTTTCAAAATGTGAGGTCATGATGACTTTTACTTGTGCTGTGAGAAATATGTTTGAAGGAGTTTGACACCACCAGCAGTTACTTAGTCTACAAGCTAATTGAACTTGCCCAGGAAGGCCACCCGGATAGGTATTAGAGCTGTGAAGAGTTGTACTTTACAACTCTTAGCGGTGGATCACTCTGCTCGTGTGTCGATGAAGAAAAAAAGAGTTGTACTTTCGGCTGATTGCGCCTTAAAGGAGTTCAGTTTCAGATTATTTAGACAGTTCAATGATTATCAAATCAGAAGGCCAGTGACCTCTGAGGAGAGCAGAGATGAGAAACCATCCACCATCCTTTAGCCTATGTTTCAGTTTGTGTTTGGTTAAGAAGAGAGTCAGAGTTTGATTATGGATCCACCAAGCCTGTCACAAGTGTGTATATGCCAATAAGATAGCCTAAATACCTTACACTTAGGAGAAGCTTGGAACAGAGAAAGAACTGTTCCTTGGTTTCAAAAGACTTGGGGTCAGTTTTGAGTTCTGCCATTTACTTGCTTTGTGATGGATCCAAGACAACTAACCTCTCTGATCCCTCAGTGCCTTTCTATGTAAAGTGGATATTGTAATAGTAGGAAACAAGTGGTTTCTATACTGCAGAGTGCTTTGTAAACTATGAAGTGCTGTGTCAATGTTATTCTGTGGGGTTCGCGCTGCCAGCTTCAATAAAAGCAGCTTTCACTTGGCTTAGGACATTTTCCCTGCAGCTCTCTAAGACCTCACCATAGCCAGCCTCTGTGTAAGTAGACACCCCGAACTGAGCCTTGGAGGACTCTCTTGCCTCAACAAAAGCCTCAAGGCCTCCTGCATCCAGATACCTTCTGTGACACAAGCTGGTTAGCTGCGCATAAAACTGTGAGTCTGAGACAGAAAGCAGCTGAGAGCAGCACGATATCCTACCAACCTTATCATAAACCAGTAACTCCTGGAACTTCTGTGCTAAGACAAGACTTTCACTGTACTTCTCCTGAAAGAAAAGAAAACCCATCTCCAACTGCCTGATGCTGGCTAATTTCCTATACGCATTTGCTCTTCTAAGTGTAGTCCTCAGTTCAACATCACCTGAGAGCATGTTAGAAATGCAGACTCTTAGGCCCCATCCCAGACCTACTCAGTCATTTTAAGAAACTCCCAAGTGATTTGTATGTACCTTCAGACTGTACTCTATTTAATAAACCAGACTGGAAATGGGCAGAGACTTCTGGCCTGGATTCTACCAGTAGTAATGAGCTATGAGACCATGAGCCACTTTGGCTGGGCTCTGTGTTCCTCATCACACGGGGTGGGGGCAGGACTGTATCTGTGTTTCTAAGCAAGGTCTGGGATGCCCTAGGGCCTGCATAGAGAGGCATTTCAAGGACTACTGCAGGGGTGGAGAGAACAAGAGGGGAGCCCTGCAGGGAGGGGCCTCTGCTCCCCCACCCTTCTTCTACTATTCCACTATATCTGCTTCATATACTGGTCTTCTCCTAATAATTAATTTGAGTAAGGATTCTGTTATTAAAATAAATTTGGGGGTCCCCCGGCTCTGAAAGCTCCTGCTGATTGGTATCTGTCTGGTCGCAAAGAAGGGTGAGGCTGCTGTCCAGTGGGAGGAAGTAGCAATACTACCTGGTGTCCTAGAATCTCTGCCCTGAATCTCTTCATCAGTTCAGAAATCACTTGTTGCTCACCTATGTGCCTTGGAGTCAGTGTGCAGAGGGTTTACCTCAGGAGCTGGCTTCCTCCTGCACATGGTCTGCATGATTGGCCCAGTGGGCATGTGAAAGCAGGGCTGGGAAAGGACCTCCTCCCTTTAGGAGCACAGTGCAGCGTGGGGGTCACTCCGCATGAGCCCTTCCCCTGCTGCCTCTGCTCAGCCTCCTGGGCTCTCTACTATTTCCCTATCCTCTGGCCCCATCCCCATGGTCCCCCCTTCCTGAAACATTATTGAGTCCCTACTGTGATCAAGACTCCTTGTTAGTGTCCTACACATACAAAGATGTATGACACAGTCCCAGCCTTCAGGAAGACCATGTCTAAACCAAACTCCCTGAACTTAGCCTCTTGCCTCATTAACCCGTGGTTTCCTTCTCTGGTACCAGAAGTCTCTCCTTTGTGATCCCTTGTAGGATCTGTCTGGATCCATCATCAGACAGATTTCTGGTCATGGGCAAATGCCCATGCCTAGGTGTTGGCATATTGGCCCTGAGCAGATGGCTGATACTATGAGGAAGAGATCCAGAAGGCTGTAGGGTTGAATTAGAATTTAAAGGGATTGAGTGCGTTGGCCAGTGAGGCCCAGAATAAAATCCAGAAGGCATAAAGGGAATTCTGTATAAGTGGACATCTAGGTTGTTTCTGAATTTCTGCATTTTAAGCAATACATTAATACAGTGTCTTCAAAACATACATTTTTGTGAACATCCATTATCTCCCTTGGGTAAATCCCTCCGTGTGACTGCTGATTCAAACGGCATGTGTATTTTAAGGCTTGGGATACAGTTCCCCAAACATTAATGTTTTCATATGTTTAAAACTAAACCTGTTCTGCTCTCCCAGGCCAGATCTGCTGCGATCTGAAGGTATCCCCAGTGTGGAGGTGGTTCCCACTGCATCCCCTGTGTCCGGGAGCCCCAAAATGTCCACCTCAGGCGGCAAGAGCCGGTATCGGAGCAAACCACGCCACCGCCGAGGGAACAGCAGAGGCAGCCACAGTGACTTTGCAGCAATCTTGAAAAACCAGCCAGCCCCGGAAAACTCATCCCACCCCACTTATCTACACCAGGCTCAATCCCAGTACCCTTCTCTGCAGCAGCAGCACCAGCAGCCCCCTCCCTCCGCGTCTCAGAGTCACCATCCCCGGCTCAACGTGCACGGACAGGACATTGCAACCTGCGCCAACAACCTGAGGTATTTCGGCCCGGCTGCAGCCCTGCGGAGCCCACTCAGCAACCATGCTCAGAGACAGATGCCGGGCTCCAGCCCTGACCTCATCTCCACAGCCATGGCAGCAGACTGCTGGAGAAGCTCTGAGCCTGCCAAGGGCCAGGCCGGCCCCTGGGGCTGCTGTCAGGCTGACCCTTACGACCCCTGCGTCCAGTGCAGGCCAGAACAGTGCGGGTCCTTAGACGGTCCCTTCGCTGAGCCGGTGGGGAGGAGCCCCGACCTTTTCAAGTCACCAGCACACAACCTCCTCCCGGAAAATGCCCAAGGGTCTGAGAAAATGCAAGAAAACGAATTCAACAGCTGTAGGTCTGCTTCGTCCCTTGGCATCCTTCATCACATCACCCCGCCAGTGCTACCTCGAAAAACAAGGCCCCTTCAAAAGGTAAGCAGTGAGGACAGCAGTGCTGTCACTGCCTCTGGATGTCGAGCAGTGTCAGAGCCTGTTGTGTGATGTGCATTGTAAAATACACATAACAAGTGTACATTTTGTAAAAGGATGAGCTAACAAAAGCATAAACAGAAGTTTCTTTTATTTTAAATACTTTCTTTTTACACTGCTTAGGTGATGGAGTTAGACATACATTTTGAGAACTACTGACCCAGTGGACTGATTAAAATGTACATAATTTATTAATAGATAAATAACCATATATTAGGGATATGTAATCAAAATAATTTGGAAGCCACTACTCTAGCCTAGTCCTGAGGGATGTTGCAAGAAGGAAGAATCCCATTATAAAACTGGTTTGGTTAACATAATATTCTCTCTCCCCTCTGGAAAATTCCTAGTGTACGTCAGCAAGTCCTAGCCTTGGAGAAATCATGCAGTAACCTTGTGTAATCCAGCATTTCCCTCACCTATTTGACCATACTGCCTTTTAAACATAATATCTACTAAGCCCCCATGGAACTAGCTTTCTTCACAATGCATGCTGGAAAACATTGCCTTAATTAATAACCATCATGAGCTAGCAAGTTCTCAGTTATTGAAACCTGTTCCTCGCCTCCTTGCCCACTGGTTGCCTGGGGTCTATTAGCTGGGGGCAGTCTACCATAGTGGTTATGAGCACGAGCTTGGGAGTCAGACGGACCTGAGTGCAAGGCCAGACTCTTCCACTTAGTGCCTCTGTGAACTTTGGTGTCCTTGTCTATAAAATGGGGCTAATAATATTGGGCCCTGCCTCATTAGTTGATGTGAGGATGAAATGAGTTAATATGTATAAAGCATTTAGAACAGGGCCTTGTACATGGCAACCTTCCAAAAAACGTGAGCTCATCTTGCTAATGAGTTAAAAATAAGATGATATATGAAAAGTATTTAGCACACGATAGATATCCACTCAATTCTAAGTATTGTTTTATATCATCATCATTATTCACCAGGAGTTTAGTTGAAGGAATGAAAGGGTCTAAAATGTAAATGAGAATGTTTTGGTCAACCAGACATTTAATAGGAAAAAAGTTGAAGCTGAGGACTACTCTCTCAGAACTGTATTTCCTCTCCCACATAAAGTGCTGCTGCTAAGTATTCCCGGAAATTAAATTGTGTTTCGGGTGGTGCAGTGGATTTGGGCTAATCCAGTCTCTGCTCCCCCCACCCCTACGGCCAATAGCATGTATTTTTTTGGAAACAACTTTATTGAGATATAATTCACATGCCATATAATTCTCTCATTAAAGTGTACAATTCAGTTCTTTTTATTCAGAGTTGTACAACCATCACCACAACTAATTATAGAGTATTTTCATCACCTCAAAAAGAAACCCTGTACCCTTTAGCAATCACCCATTCCCCGGTCCCCTCCTAAGTAACATGTACCTTTGAAACATTCTGATGCCATTTTGATGCCATCTGTGGGTCTGCAGGCCATGGATCACATACCTTTTATATCTGGTCTTCTTAGAACCGCACTCCCAGAGAGCAGTTCAACTTTTCTGTAAGGACATATGCTCCCACATGTACTTCTGGGGTAAAGGGCTTATCTCAGCAGTCAGGATATCTCCATCCCTGTCTTTCCTACTCAGAAAGCATCAGAATGCAAATATTTTAGAACTGACTTTCAAAGTACATTATCCTCGATCTTTGGTACAATTACTTGGACCCATTACCTAACTCACAGGGATTGTAATAATCTGGTGCATCGTGGCGCTGTAGTTAAGTGACAGTTGGTCTTAGTGTGCCTGTTCCTATGCGCTTGAAGAGAAATGGAATCTTCCCTGTGAGGGAAGATCATCTATCCAGACAGGACACTTGCCCAGCCTTCTATCAACCGTAGAACCCCAGCAATCACAAGGCCTCGGGTGGCCCTCGTCCTGCCAACATGCTGACTCAACACTGTAGTAAGCACCTGCTGTGTGTGCAGCGTTGTATTAATGATGGGGTGAGGGGTACAGTACAAGACATGGTCTGACTCTCAAATGATGTATGTCTTAGTAGTGGAGATGATACAAGCATACTAATTATAATATCAGTGAAAAAGGGGTTGGTACATGAAAGGGGAAAAAGTAGTTGTTGGGTTTTGAACAATTAATTGAAAGATCACTTCTTGGTGGAGTCTCTATGACAAAGCCTGGAACCACTAGTGACAATGATTACATGCGACTGCCCCCAAATCCAAGGCCTCTTCTCTAGTTTCCCCTCTCTGTCACTCACCTCTGGACACTTTCATGGAGACTTCATCTCCCTGAGGGCAAAGACATATAGATTTATATGTCTTCCAGCATCTAGTGCAGGGCCTGTCACCAGGACACCCAGGAAGAGTTGCTAAAAGAATGAGTGAAGATATGCATGTTTAAAGATGACACTTAGCAAGCTACTACTCAATACCTTGTGATGATTAAATCTTTGCAAGGAGTGTGTGTGTGTGTGTGTGTGTGTGTGTGTGTGTGTGTGTGTGTAAGGGGTGGGAGGAGATAAAATTCTTTTCTCCCTGTTTTCCTTAGAGTGGAGATGAGTCATCAGAAGAGGAAGAAGGGGAAGTAGATAGTGAAGTTGAATTTCCACGAAGACAGAGGTAAAACCATCAAACACACATGATTGCTTTCAGCGTAATCGGGAAACCCTGAGGTTGCCACACTTCCTGTTCAATTGTATGTCACTTTCTAACAGCCACCTTGTAAGGAAACTTGAACTCACTGTGTTTATGGTTTCCCATTCCCTCATTTTGGCAACTGGCTATGCACAGTCAGTCCCAGTTTATCAGAATTCATTTCATAGGAACTTCAAGACGAGGAGCATAAATACAGATTCAAGTTTACAACTGAGAATATAGTGGGCAGTTTATGAGGGATCGCCATGTGTTTTATGGATACTTTTATTAGTTTGTAGTATACCTCCCTGAATTAGTTTGCTTGGGCTGCCATAACAAAATACCATAGACTAGGTGGCTTAAGCAATGGAAATATATTTCTCACAGTTCTGAACGCTGGGAAGACCGAGATCAAAGCTCCTCATGGGAACTCTCTTCCTGGCTTGCAGACAACAGCCTTCTTACTGCATCCTCACATGTTGGGATGTGGGGGTGAGGGGAAGAGAAGGAGAGCGCTGCCTTCCTCTCTTTATAAGGCCACATCCTATAAGATTAGGGCCCCACCCTTTTGACCTCATTTAACCTTAATTACCTCCTAAGGACTCTGTCTCCAGATTCAGCCACATTGGAGGTTAGAGAGTCAACATGGAGGGGGGACTTGTACACAGTTTAGTCTATAGCACTCTCCGTGCCTTGGATTTTAGGTCTCAAATTAATTATAATTAAATTAGGTGAGTTGAGTCCTCCTTCAAACCAGCCTTAGAAAGAGCTTCCTGCTTACCTGGTGATGATAATTTTGCTTGTAGGATTAAAGAAGGACCACACTCCCCTACGTCTAGAACAGAGCTGCTCCTATGTAGGAGCAGGGAAGGTGGTTTTCGTCCCAGGAGGCCTTTTCTGCTAATAGGCATTTTGTTTTTTAAAAGTAAAGCTCTAAGAATCCCTGGGAGGTTTGTGTACCTGCCCAGAAACAGGAATTCTCTGCAAACCAACAGACTTCTAGCCCTTTGGTAAATTGTATTCTGGGTCCCCACGCTCTGCACAAAATTGAAATCTGTTCTCATCTCCTGAGCTATTCTTGCCATGAAGCTATTGCTTTCTCATTGACTCCTTGGACACTATGTTTTCTCTTTGCAACCAGCTCAAGTTTGAGTAAAATGAACTCATTTGCTAACATCACAATGATGTTACTTCCAGCTTTTGTTCCTGTGACACATCATGAACTCAGCCTGCCTAACGGCCTTCCGACCTTTCTTTGCTATGATGCAAATTATATTTATGTTTTTACCACATGGCTTTGCTTTTTACATTATAACATTCTTCTCCCCATCTCCCTTCTGGATTACCAGCCTTGAGAAGCTGTGTGAATCTTACCTTCACTTCCCTTTCCCACATTGGATCTTTTCATGTGACCTTGATTCCCCCCCACCCCCAGCCCACACCTGGCCTGGTCATCAGCCAGGATCAGATCATCTGCCATCAAAATCACCTTGTACTAAGAAATACAGAAAGATCAGACAATGCCAGAGGGGAAAGGCTGTCTTATTATTTGTTCTGTTTTGGTTTTAAACCAGTATGAGCTAACAGCATCCTTATTTACTAGGCTACTTGGAAACCATGGGAAAGAAGTGAGGAACTTTTGCAAATTCTCCTCTCGCCACCCCCCGAAACTTTGCCTTATCAGAGGGAAACCCTGATGTTAACTGGAATGAGCCGCTGACCGGCTGGGCAGTGCCCACAGTTGCAGAGTGAATGTTCCTTCCAAGCTCCTTTCTGCTGGGCATGGGCTGACAGGGTGGTGAAGGCACTCCTTCCAGGGCTGCCATGCCCAGTGAGCAGTGCAGCTGGGGTGGAGTGAGGCAGAGGACTCTGGGCTGAGTGTGAATAGACCACACACGCCACAGCTCTGCCTTTTCTGACCGTGTGGCCTTGGACGAGTCACTTCCCTTCTTCGGCTCTAGTTTTCTGATCTGGGAAATGAGTCAGACCAGAGAATCTCCCAAGTCTCTTTCACCTGTGAAAACCTGGGGTTCTGTGAATAAGCAGCATAATTTCAATGTGGACATTTCCATACCACGCATAGGTATACACAGTATGATTAGACCAGCTGATTATCAAGACCAGTGGTAGCCATCAGCTTTGGAGTTTAGCCACATAAACATATAAATTTCCTCTCAGATGCTTTCAAATTAAATAGTTTCAACCTATCTGGATTTGAATCTCCCTGAAGGGCAGGAATAAAACTAGGTGACCTCTCACCAGGGCTGCGATTGATGGACAAGGTAAGGAAAGTGGTTGTTCCTGTGATGAAGTTCCTCTGGCTCTTTGTGGTTCTAGGCCCCATCGCTGCATGAGAAGCTGCCAGTCGTATTCAACATTTAGCTCTGAGAATTTCTCTGTGTCTGATGGAGAGGAGGGAAATACCAGTGACCACTCAAACAGCCCTGATGAGTTGGCTGATAAACTTGAAGACCGCCTGGCAGAGAAGCTAGATGACCTACTGTCCCAGACGCCAGAGATTCCCATTGAGATATCCTCACACTCAGATGGGCTCTCTGACAAGGAGTGTGCTGTGCGCCGGGTGAAGACGCAGATGTCTCTGGGCAAGCTGTGTGTGGAGCAACGTGGCTATGAGGTGCGGGCCTCTCCTCCCTTCTCCTCTCATCACTGTTCCTATCCTGTAGCTCTTGTGAGTTACAACGTCTCAAGTCCCAAGGTCCTTCCCAATTATCATTGAGTATATAAGATATAACAACTGCCTCTATGAAGTAAGTAAAAGTACACAGATCAACAGAGCTCCCAAAAATGAGGGTAGTTATCCCAAATGAGGCGCAGACATTGAACTGCTCATGAACCCTTCATTCCAAGATTGAACTCAAACATCACCTCCTCCTGGCCCCATCTCCCAGTCTGGTTAAGGGTGTGAGCCTCCCTCTTCCATGTCCCCTCTATCCCCTGATGATGCTATCATAGCACATGTAACACTTTAGTTCATATTCAGCATTGCCCTTCGAGAGGCAGGATAGCATAAGTGGCTGAAATTGTGTACCCTGGAACCTGACTGCCTAGATGCAAACCCCAGGCTTTCCAATTACTTACTGTGTGATGTTGAGTAAGCCATTTAACTTCTCCATAGATCGGTTTTCTTATCTGTAAAATGGGTATGATAACAGCGTCTATCTCATGGGGTTGTTGTAAGGATTAAATGGATTAATAGATGTAAAGCACATACAGCAGTGCCTGGAACACAGTGAACTCTCTATAGTGGGGCTGTGGTAGTACTGTTATAATTGTCACCATCATCGTCATCACAATCATCATCTTTACAAGTCTTCTTTTTCTGTAAGCCCCATAAGGACAGGACCTGGTCTCATCGATCTTTGTAGCCCCCTTACCTACCAAGCCAGCACAATGCCTGTCATGTGGGAGGTGTTCAATATATGTTTACTGAGTGACTGCAGAAATGAATTAAGGTTTTATTTTGTCTTGACTTTGCAGAATCCTATGCAGTTTGAAGAATCGGACTGTGACTCTTCAGATGGAGAGTGTTCTGATGCCACAGTGAGGACCAATAAACACTACAGCTCTGCTACTTGGTAATGAGAGGATACCCATCCTGAAGATGTCATGACAATACTGGCATTTCAGATCCGCCTCACCTCCTGATTCTTCCCGCTCTCTCCCTGCTTTTTTGTCTGGGAAGAGAGCTGCCCCATCTTTCTTACCCCTAGAAATGAGCTGCAATAACAGGAACATGAGACTTTGCAAATCTCTGGAAAAAATATCCAAATGAAATTAAGTCTCACTGAACATTTCAATCAAGAATGGCAGGGATCTATTTTATTGAATATTCTAGCTACTGTAACACTGATATTTATTTTTGTTTGACATTTTAACACTTTGTACTGTAAAGATTGAACTACATATGATATAGAGAGAGACAATAATTTCTTGCAAAAAAAAAGAGAGAGGGAGAAAGGATAAAAAGCAAAGAAAGAACTGGAATTTAGGAACAACATTCTTGAGAATTTGTGGGGCCAAGAGTTATCATTGCTACTTGAACAGGGGACCAGGTCTTTTGGCCATAAGAGACTGAAGAAGAGCCAGAGCAAGACATGTTGAGCATTTTAGAAAACAAAGAACTGCAAAAGAAAAGCAATTCCAGGTAACTTGTGAACAGACCACATTGAGTTCAACCAGCTTATCCAATGGGTGATGGAAATGACCTAGAAAAGTTTGGTGACCAGCTACTTGCACCCAAGGTCTTTGAAGGCATGTGCTTCCTCTAGGAGGAAAAAGAAAACTATATATGTGAAAACTGGTTTCATTTTTTATTTATTTTAAGCAGCATTTGGTTGTGAGACTTACAGATAGAGTCGAACCTTCCTTGACAAATATTTACCTTTTAAATGCTGTCATTGTCATTATCTTGACAAATGTATTACCTTGACCAATGTGCCATTTTCTTGTAGCCATTTTCTTTCCATCTGTTGACCACTTCCTTTAGGAAAAAGGGGAGGGCTGAGGAGAGAAGGGTAAGAGAATAAGGAAACTGACAACAGTGTTAGAAAAGCAAGTGGGGAATTTATAAAAGTACATTGTCAGAACACCTCAGGTCAGCTTTGTGGAGAAGATGGAATCACCCCTCTCTGGAGCCAGGTTGCTTGTCTACTAGAGTCATATTGATTCAAACAGGAGAACAGCCTTTGAAGGCAGCTAGGATGTGTGTGAGTCTGTCCAGTGTCCAATCCCAAACCATCCCCTTGTTTTCATTCATCAATTTATTCTATCCTGTAAGCTTTAGTGACTGGCTTCCACTATCAGAATAGAGGCAAAATAAGCACCTTGCAGAAAGCACCCCCCCACCCTTCCACCACGATAGCATTTTTGTTAAATGCTATTTGTGAAATGTATTTTACTTCTCTTTGGATCAATGCAGTTTTAAATAATTGGATTTGGAAATTTGTGGAAAGAACAACTGATGCTGAGCAGCAATTGGGAAGGTTTTACCTTGTCCAAAGCATGAGGTCCTTCCTGTCCAGGGTCATGGGCCCTGAAAAGCATCCCAAGGTACTTCATGGTACCTCAGCTTTAAGATAAATTTTTATGTGGAATTTTACATAAAAACAGATGTTGGCCTAGTTCCTGTCTCTGCCTCCAAGATAGGTTACTGTCAAACAGTGTCTCCAGGCTCAAGATCTGAAGAAGATGGCAGGACTCTTTGACTCTGCATCGTGTTGGACATTAGGAAAGACTTACACATATTGGTATTAAACCATTTCCAATGCAGGTGAAAACATTGACCTCCTCTGAGTGTCACTGATTGCATCAGCCAAAAAGAAAAGGCAGGAGGGAGTTTAGAGCAGTTCCTTTTGCTTGTTTGATCCCTCCATTTGTTTACAACTTATGTTGAGATATTAATTTAAAACCTAGTGTATTTAATTTATAGCTCTTAGGTGAGATGAAGGAAGATGTCTAACTTATACAGGGAGCAGTATTGTTTGCATTAAATTATTCCATTTTGTATCAATTCTGTAGCTGGACTACATGAAAGATCTTAAGTTATGGCATTATTATCATTGTTATTTTATTTTATAATAATTATTATCATTCTCATTTTCTGTCGATCAGAAGGTGTGGTTTACAGTGTAGCACAATGATTGTGTCTATGGCTAACCATGAATTATCATGAATTTTTATGATTTTTATGAAGGAATGAAAGTGGCACTGCCACTTGGAGGCTCTCCAGTATCCATCTTAGGTGCATTCCCTCACTTTCTGTGTACAACCACAATCATCTGAGGACGCGTGTTCTGCCCTGGAGCCCAATGGCTACATTGTGATTTTGACTTGATCGCGAAAGCTCCTGGGTGGGCAGGTGACTGAGTGGATGGACAAATAGTTCAAAGGCTGTAAACTTTCTCAAGTTTCTTAAGAAATAAAATCATGAGACTACACTAGAAGTAAAAAGAGCATTTTTTAATGCCCTAAGAGGCACAGACCTAGAGAAATTTCTGCAGAGGACCCGTACGTTAGAGGTCGAAGAACGGGGAGCAGTGTGTTACCTCATCCCTGCCAGAATCCCACAAAGCCAGCCTGTCTTCTCCTAGTTGGGAGTAGCAAGAAAACTTAAAAAATGTGTGTGTGTGTGTGTGTGTGTGTGTGTGTGTGTGTGTGTGTGTGGCATGACATAAAATGCCTAGCTGTGATGTCATCCTATAACAAGACTAGAATAATTCTTCAAAGGCTTGGTCACTTAGAGGCTCATAGGGGTGGAAAAGTACTACCTTGAAGAGCCCTATTTTCCATCCTCTGACTTCAGACCACACTATCCTATGAATCTCTCTTTCTGGGAAAAGAGAGGTTACAACTCTGTGTCCCCTTTCTGTCCAACATAAAACACTGACACTTCAGCTGGTCTGGTTCTTGCCCACCTGCGGTGGCAAAAGAAACATGGCAGTCAGTGTCTTACACCTTCCGGTCACGATCTTCCCAGGACACCCCCACCGGACGCCTCATACTTTTTTTTTAATCCTCACTCGAGGATATTTTTTCCATTGCTTTTCAGGGAGGGAGGGAGGGAAACACTGATTGGTTGCCTCCTGCACACCCCTGACTGGGCCAGGGATCGAGCTTGCAACTGAGGTACGTGCCCTTGACCGGAATTGAATCCAAGATCTTTCTGTCCAGGGGAGCCGGTGCTCCAACACTGAGCCAAACCGGCTAGGGCTAACACCTCACACTTTTGATAAGTTTTCTGATTTCCCATCTTGACTATCTGTCATGATAATGCCATAGAACCTATCTGGATTAACTGTTCTGAGCGTGTTAGGGTCACATACAGTGTTGAATCTTTAGTCATTCACTGTATGGTCAAGAGTTTAATAAAGTTCCACATTAAACATTTTTATTTTTCAGTAGAAGTGACTAGAGGCTTCAGAGAAGAACAGCGTCTTTAGATCAAAAAGAGAAATGCCTTCTCTATCCCAGCCTTGCCCTTTACTGTCTGCCTGAGGTCCCCAGGACAATTTTGAGTTGGTATGTGTTGCTTTGAGAACGCATCTGAAGAGCGTTAAGTCAAGAGCTCAGGGAATTCGAGCTGATTCTGCAGTCCTGACGACTGTGCAGCAGTGCTTTAAGGAACCTCACAGGGCTGTGATTTCAAGCTTCATTGTTGATTGAAAATTTAATCCCCTTGGGATGAATGTCCACATTCATTTAGCATCCGTTTTTGACTGACTACAAGCTAATGAGTTTTAATTTGGGTTGCAGATGGGCATTTGTTTCTGATTTCCATCTATTTCTAGATCATGTCCTTTGAATAACAGTTCCTCTTAAAATTGCTTAGCAGAGAAACTGAGAAGCCTGCATCCACTTTGAAATTATAGTAGACCTTGAAGTTTAGACCTTTTTGGAAGATTATGGGGAGTGCCTACCCAGAAAGGTGAAGATGCTAGCTAGCTCTGTTGTAAGATGATCTGGCATGACCTACTTGAATTTCAGGTATTTTAAAACTTTAGTATCAACAAATCCATCTTTCAAGAATTAAGGATATTTTAGCAGAATTCAGTAAGGCATCCACTTCAGGGCCTCTTTGTGCTAAATTTCTCTCTCACCCTAAATAATTTGATTTGATGGTTTGGGGTTTTCCTGGTACCACTCAATTTTAAATGCCCTCCCACTATGGAGCATTGGCATCCTTTCAGTGTAAACACATCCCCACCCCCTTATGTCTCATTTGGTTCCCCTTAAAATGTTCCTACTTGAAGTTCCCAGAACTTAATTCTCCAAAATAGAACACCATACTTGGAACCCTGGGAATTCCCTCTCTGCTCTGCAGTAGTGGGCTGTATTTTGTTTTGCCACTAAGCCAGAAACCAAAATACCACCAAATATCACCACCTACAATCTGCACTCTAAACACCCACGACCAGTGTTATTTATTGATCACCCTATTCTTCCCTGCTGAGCCTGGACCCAGCTTCAGAACCTCTCACAACACAGCCCTGGGAGCAACAACTACCGCTTGATTAGAACAGGTGTGCAAGGGGGCGATGTTTGCCATCCCAGCTCTAAAATCTAAGCTCATAATTTCGTAACAGTGGTTTGAGATCTGGAGTTAGCCCTGATGGGAAAATGACAGGATCACACTAGTGTTCTCCTTATGGATCCCACCCTATGGCTCTCGGGGCAGCTCCATTGGCATAGAAAAGGCCACTTGCCTCTACCCCTGCCCCTTTGGACTACAATTCCAAATTGTCTCCAATCTCTGACAGTTCCAAAATGTGTCTCTTCATTCACATTATTTCATTGTGTTAAATAAGCATGTTCCTCCCTCACCTTCTATACAAAGTTAATGTTAAGTCCCAGTGACTTTTTCCTTTGACTCTGACACTAATGTACCAAAACAATGTGACATTTTTTTGTTTATTTTTTAAACATGTCTTTATTGATCTCAGAGAGAGGAAAGGAGGGGGAGAGAGATAGAAACATCAATGATGAGAGAGTCATTGATCGGCTGCCTAACCCGCAACCAGGCGTGTGCCCTGACCGGGAATCGAACCCCGATCTCCTGGATCGTAGGTCGATGCTCAACCGCTGAGCCACGCCCGGCCGGGCTCACATTTTTTTAAGACCTTGACTTGTACAGTCAGTATGAATTTAGTGCCTTTCCAGGCAGCAAGATTTTTCTTCTTTGCAGCTTTCATAGAATAAATGTCCCAGTATATTCACACCACCAATGTTACCAACCTCACAGCTAGCACACGAGATTCACATTAACCTGTTTGTTTGCACGTTACAGCCAACACTGCAAGCACCTAGTCAAACTGAATGAACTAGGCTGCCAAGCAGAGGACCCCTGTGGAACCTGGAGTGCTTCTCAGGGCAGGTGGCAGAGGAGGGGAGCTCTGAAATCACTGCTCTGGGAAAGGGGTTACCCCAAAGGAGTTAGAGCTTTGATTAACTGTCACAGGACCAGAGCATGATGCCAGGATTTCGCATAGCACAGATGGCAAGGCCACTGTAAGGAAACTCCGGGCAGAATCACAGATCTACTCTCTAGAGCCACTTCACAGCACCCGGGGGAACGCTGGCTCCTGGATGCTGCCCAGTGACCAGGCAGACAGGGTCCTCTAGTGGTCGTACAGCAGAGGGAACCCCAATCAGAATGTGCAAGCTATTAGGAAGGCGGCCCTGACTGACCATGTCACCCGGGGAGCTAGTCACCTCCAGAGTGACAGCTTCTCAGACTCCGGAGTTGGACTCACTTCCATTCTTTATTGCAATAATTGGAGTTCCCTATCAACCTGGAGCAAATTAACTTCTTTCTAATGGTCAAGTCTCAAAATAAACCCCCTCATCTGTCTCCCCTGTGGTCGCCGGTCCTGTCAGTTCCCCTGCACCACGTTGGTTTGCCTGAAACAATTGTTCTTTGCATGGAACAATTGTACAGCAATGGGAACAAGAGTGACTATGAAAGCAAACAAATGCATGGAGTTAAAAAGTGCACTTCAGTGTTTTGGTCACCTTTTCCTAAAGGTGCTGGTTGTGTCCTGAGAACTGCCTTCACAAATCTCAGCATTTGTCAGAAATTTAGGGAAAGGAGGACTTCACATGACTGGGTTTCCTGCAGCCAGGAAAACAGGTGATGGCAAAGCTGGTTTCTGCGGCTCTTGTGTTAGACACACCACAGAGGAAGAGATCACTGTCGTTTTATTTTGTTACAGTCTCGTCTTGATTATTCTGGCACAGCCCAGACAGGCGCTCTGCTCCTTCCCTATGGCTTTCCTGCTGCCCATCTTATAGCTACTAAGTGTTATTAGTGACCCCACTATAAAGTGAGCATAGAGATGGAAAAGGTGAAGATGAAAACGCCTGAGAGGGGAGAGCTACCCCGTTGGGATTGTCTGACCTTTAGCCAATCCTGACTCCCACTGGCGAGGGGAACTGAAAGTTAGCAACATGGACAAACACATACCACAGAACATTTATACCCATTTATTTGGGAGATTACTTTGCCTGTAGGCTCACAACTGATAAGGCACATTGTTGCAAGATCATTGGGACGAGGGAGAGACCAATCTAAGGATCCTGATAAAGGGCAAAGTGTGGAAAGTTTCCTTGTTTCTCCCTCCCTCTCCCTATTCCAAGAACAAAGATCCACAATTTCAAAGTCCAGTTGGCCTACTCTTCACCCCCACCCTTGTTATCAAGCTTCCTTTAAAGCAATACATCTTTAAAAATTAAGTTATTGTGGGTGTGTGTTTTTTATCATATGAGTCCAAAAAAACAATGCTTGGAAATTCATTCTCAAGAATGAATATTCTCAAGAAATCATGAAGCACATGTGGCCTAGATTTAAAGCCTTGGCAAGATTCTTGGCGAAGCCAAATCAAAACCCAGCAGATGATGCCCAAGGGCAACAGTTCTGGTGAGAAATGATGAGTTACTCCTGTGAGGTACAGGATCCCAGAGCTGGTCAGTTAGGTGCCAAGGTCCTTCTGTTCTTGGAAGTATGAACCCAGGTCTGTGCCAATTCAATACTGCTGCCAGAGGAAGCAACGACAGCTACAGATAACTGAAACACAACAAAATAACCCAAATCCAAGATTTCTTCTTAGAATTAAAAGATAAAATATAATTATTACTCAGTTATTCTCAGCAAATGACAAACTGAAAAACATTCCAAGGGCATACTGGCTAATATTTGAGCGTACTGAATCCATTCTCCTAGCAGGAGGGAGAAGGGATTTGCACACAGAAAGGACAGATTACAAAATGCACTGGTCATTTGGTTCATGTGAATCAAGAGACCTGCACTGTCCAGGTGAGTTTCTCCAGAACGTATCCATAACATAGCTCGCTCCATTCATATGTAATAGTCTGTTTGCAATCGGCTTAACTGTCAGGCCGTGCAACCAAGAGGAAATGTGACATATATGGTAACACTGGTGTGTCTGAACACAAAGAGCATCGGAGAAATCACTGTGCACCTGAGCTGTACATAGATGTTCTAAAGCAGTCTGTGGGCTTCTTTCCCTTGGTTTATGTAAGAGGTAGGTCATCCGAAAAAAAAAGTGCAGAAGAAACACTCTTCAAGAGACTAGCAAGATGAAGAGTGATGTCAGTGACGTGGGTTCACATGTCATCATTGACACTAATAACAAACACCAGGGACTTAACAGAACACCTGTCACAACAGCCGATCACTTTGGAAAGGAGGCACTCTGGACAAGGACAGTCCATATCCTCTCCTGAGGCAGCTCAGGGCTTGGCAAGAGGCAAACACAACAGACTATCCCGAGTTCTCTGTTATTCAATAAAACACACAGGGCTTTCTGAGAGGCTATCCATTTCGCAGCGTCCTACTAAGCCAGGGCTGGTTTAATTCACCTGATATAACTCACCTTCTAGACCACAAGGTCTTTCATGACAAGACACTGAGCACAGGTGAACTGTGTCCAAACCACCTGTTGAGGGTAATTAACAGCAATGAGGGGCTGTAGAGGACCACACCCATCACACATATAAGCAATACAGTCCAGGGCCACATGGCCAAAAAAATCCAGATCACATGTGCTTTCTGCTATTTAGATGATTGGCATTGCTTGTTTCATTCAAATGCAGGTCTTTCTGATTAAGTTTTTTTATCAGGGTTCCAGGAACTAAGGCCACCAGAGCAATGGCCAACAGCTTCAAGACAGTTTCCCAGGAGAAAAGAGCATCCAGAGAGGTAAGGGTTGACAGGATGGAGCCCGTCTGCACACAGATAAAGTTGTAGGGGATCAAACCTGGAAGAAGAAAAAGGAAAGAGCCTGTTACTGAGGGGCAGGAAAAGGAAGAGCATTAACCATTCAGAAATGTCACCATGAGTTCACAACAGTGATTCCAGGTTTGGTTTTTCCCAGCTCCTCACCCCTAAACATATTACCTCTTTCCCTTCTTCTTTTCCACTCTCCCCCTCCTTTCTTCACTCTCACATACACCTGCATTCTTTAATAAACGGATTTGAGATAGTTTACAAAAACATATACAGTATAGTCAGGGCACATGCCCGGGTTGCGGGCTCCATCCCTGGTTGGGGGCGTGCAGGAGGCAGCCGATCAATGACGACCCTCTCATCACTGAGGTTTCCATCTCTCTCTCTGAAATCAATAAAAGGTATATTTAAATATGTATGTATATATATTTTTATATACAAAAAGATTTTAACAGGAAAAACAAAATGAGTGAAGAATAAAATAAGGGAGTAGAGTTAGGAGAAAAATGCATAAGGTTCACCCACTTGCTAGAGGTGGGCCCCAACTTTGGTTCTGAGCAGCCGAGAGCCAAGTAAGGAGAAGCACCAGCATTATGAGATTTACAGGATGCATGACATAAAAACCAACATGTTTCTTAGAAGTACTTTTTTTCATGTTCTGTACCGTTCCTAAGAAGTCATCAAGTTCACTGGACCCTAGAAGTCTGAGTGGTGGCTAGACAGGGTGGTGGCGTAACAACTCCCTGGTGATGTTGATAAAAACACATCCTCTGGCTCTACCCCAGAGATTCTGGTTACCTGGGTCTAGTAGAGCACCAGAACCTGCATTTCAAAAGCCTCTCCCCTCCCTCTCTGATTGGTTTGGGACCCCCTGATAATCCGCTCCTCTTCTATTGATGATACCTCAAGATCATAGATCACTCAAGGTCACACAGCTCGTCAGAGGGGGGACTGGAACTCTGGTCTCCAGTCTTTCCGAGCTTTGTGCCACCCAGGTTATTGCAGGCAGCTAACTGAGGCACTGAGGCACTTTGTCTGAAAGCTGATATGACCAGAATTAACTGTGGTAGATTTTGCTTCCTTTTAAGATCTCAATTTCTCTCAAGAATCCCCTATTAATAGCAGCTGCTCAACCACAGATTTGTTTTGTTTGACCTAGAAGCCCTGAGTAGTCTTTCCCTCCATGCTCTAAAGAAGGTTTAAGCGAGGCAAACCTTGCCTTAGGCTTAAAGAGAATGGCTTACTTCCAGGAGAAAATAACAGTCACTGGCTCAGCAGGAGGTTAGCACTTTACCTTTCTAATAAAGGTGGTCCAAGGCCCATACTTTGAGAAACACTGCTCTAGGCCCTCATCTGGCCAAGTGACCACTGAGGGGAAGTAGCCTGCTGAAGGTCACACAACTGTCAAAAGGCAAGAAGAAACTTCCGTGGTGCCAGCTCTTCCTAGGGCAGATCCTAATTAAAACGGGCCAAAGCCAGACAGGAAGTCCTGTGCTCTGTTCTTTTCTTCTGTCTCCTCCGTTTCTTCTTCCCATATACACATTCCAACCCTGTCTTACCTGCTAGTGTTTACTGAGCCCCTAGCATGGGCCAAGTCATGTGCTTAATAGATTAATCCCAATGCCAGCACAGTGCTTGGCACATGACAGGCACTAAATACAGTTGCAGGATGAACAGTCCTATTTTTTCCAAAAGTATTTTTATAAGGTTTCTTGTCCAAGCCTGCACAGATTTGAAATCAGGATTTTAGCTAACAAAACTTGAAGATGGTCTTCATGAGCCTGTGCTCTCAGAGGCAGGCACGTGGCCTCGTAGCTGCTAACCCAGGGCAATCCCCCAGTGAGACGAAGACTCACTCCATCAGCTTCTTACCGATAAGAACAGAGAAGAAGAACTGTCCAAGGGGGATGTTCAGAATCGGGGCAGAGAGGTTCAAGAACCAGTTTGGTGTCATGGGGAAAAGTCTCAAAAACAGTAAGAAAAAAAATAAGCCGTTTCTGTTCTCCTCCACCTGTAGCCAAAGAAGACAAGGTCATTAGGAAGCAAAAAGAGTCTCCAGGAACTGAAAATCTGTTGGTGCCAGGCACTGTTCTAGGTACTCTACATATTCTGTCCCCAAATCTCCCAACAACACTCCAGAGTACAGACTGTTTTCCTCATTTTTAAAACAGAGGTACCTGAGTCTCAGAGAGGTCAGGAAGTTGCCTCAAGTTACAGAACTGGTAATGATGGGGCTGGGATTTGATCCCAAGTCCGTGCCTCTTGGAGACATCCAAAGAACCCCTAGGACTTCCAGAAGCAGGCTCACGAACACTGTGGGAAATCCCTGCCCCTCACCCCCCCAGGTCCCTGGGGTGACTCTGTGGGGGCCCAGCACTCAGACATACCCCTCCCCCTTACCTTCCTCTGCAGCAGGGCCACTTTATCAGGAAAGTAGGAGACCACCAGTTGTTTGCCAAACATACTGGAAAGCAGGTAGCAGCACGTGGCGCCCACCGAAGTTAACACACAGCAGAGCAGGAGCCCCAGCCATGGCCCGAACAAAGCACCGGCTAAAACGTTCTGCAAAGAAAACAAACCCTCAGCCAGGAATCCATCCGGCAGCCACCAGTCACCTCATCTTGGGGGTCAAGAGTCATAGGTTCCCTCCACCCTCCTGGCCAAAACCCAACTCCCATTTTAAAGAAGTGAATGAAGCCCAGCTGGCGTGGCTCAGTGGTTGAACCTGGGATCCAGGAGATCCCGGTTCGGTTCCGGGTCAGGGCGCATGCCGGGGTTTGGGGCTCGATCCCCAGTCGGGGGCCTGCAGGAAGCAGCTCATCAACAACTCATCATTGATGTTTCTATGTCTCTCTCCCTCTCCCTTCCTCTCTCTGAAATCAATTTAAAAAAAAAAAAAAGTGAATGAAAAGTGATGAAAGAGCTGAGAACTACAACCCGGCTTTGTTCTCTTTACCAAGGATTAAAGCATCAGAGGGCAGGAGAGAGCGAAGTGACAAAATAGCACACAGCACCCAGCCTGCCACGGCGCTATGGCAAGTCCTGCAAACATGGGCGCTCCGAGAAGGCAGAGATGAAACTCGCAGGCTATCTTCACCATTTTAAATGAACACAAACCATGAGTTTCCCTCAGTCAGACCACACAAGCTACTGTATATAAAATGTCCTGTTTGTTTGCTTTTTGCTGGAATTACATCTGTGTGGTATGCAAATACTGGGGGATTCATGTTAACCAGAGATCTAGGCGACACTCAGAAAAGTTTTAGATGAACAAAAATGAAAAAGTGAGCCAATACTTCCTAAATGCAATTTGGCTAGTTAACATCATCCTGCCAAACGTGGGATCCAAGACAGAAAGTAAAAGGGGAACTTGGAAGCGAGGAGGTGGGCATCTATGAGCACCGACTATGTGTTCAGTGCTTGACTACATGTCGTATTTAATCCTCACTATGACTGTGTCATATACTATCCTTATCCCACTGTATGGGTAAGAAATTAAGTATCGGGCCCAACATCACAGTAGGCAGAGACGAGATTCACCTCCTGGTGGCAGCTGGCTCTTTGCCCTAATGAGAGATCAGCTCAAGTGGGAAGGCAGGTACCCAAGGAGTCAGCCCCTGACCTCAAACACCACACACCTCCCCTGTCTCTCTTGGAATGGACACATTTGTTTTTCTGCCAGTTTCCAACAAAGAAATTGCTTACGCAGTTCCGGGCTAAGCCTGTAGTAGAGAAAAGATGCTGGGCAGGAGAGGGAAGCAGGATTTCCTGCTCCGTCACTCAGTCATTCCACAAGTGCTTGAGGGCCACTGTGTGCCAGGCCCCATCACCATGCCAGCCACTCTACACCTACTGTTTCATTTAACCGTCCCATGCAGCAACCCTAGCGGGTTACATAGGAGCATTCCCATGTTATAGATGAGGAAACAGGGTTGAAGAAGTTAAATGACTTACCTATGGTTACAAAGCTGGGATTCAAACCCACCCCATGCCCTATATTTACATTTACATGAGCCAGTTTAGAATGCTGCTGGGAGGAAAGCACAGGTTATTCTGTATAACCTGAGATGGCAACTGATGAGCAGCATCCAACAGCCAGAGGACAAGCTCAGGTCTAACACTGTGGCTCCAGAGGGGCCACCTGGACAATCAGAATGACTTGTTCTCTCCACATCAGGGACATTTCCTGGTCCTCCACAGCCTAACATCACAATGAACAACTTGCATTTGTTCACCAAACACTTATCAAGGCAACTCCCTGTGCCAGGCAAAGGAATGCAAGGGCTAAGAAAAAGAAACAGGACCTACCCTCAAGGGACTCAGGAACTCACAGACTAATAGAGAAAATAGGTTTATGGGGGGTGGCCTCCATCAGAAGGACGTGGGCCCCCCGAAAACAGATTTTTAAAAAAAATCAAAAACAGTGCCAAAATGCAAAATATCACGGGACCTGTTAGGAGGAAGAATTGACTCAGCCCAGGGTACACGTGTGTGTGTCCCAAGGACAGTGCTACGTAGCTCTCAATGCCTCAGAAACAAAAGCAACAAACCTGAGAGGAAAGGCTGACTCTGGAGCTGGGAGGAAGTGGGTGCAAATCCAGCCCTACCCCCTCCTCGCCTTGTCCCCTTGGACAGTTACTTAATTTCTCCCTACATTATAAGGCTGTTGGGAGCATTAAATAAGGCCATGCAGGTAAAACAACTAGGACAGTGCCTGCCACAGGAGAAGCTGTCAAAAAATGGTAGTCACAGGAGTCTGTCCTCTGGACTGTGTGATTTGCAGCCTAAGAGCCCCTCTACAAAGACAGAAGGTGGCTTCCTGACAGGCACAGAAGGAGGACAGGGCACTGACCAGGAAGCTGGAGCCAGGGATGGCAAAGCACTGTTTGTAGAGGTAGGCACTGCAGAAGAGCAGGAACACGTAGGCCTGGTGCTCCCTCCGGTAGTCTCGAAGGATCTCCGAGAGCTCCCGCAACTCGGCCAGGTCAGAGGGGAACCACAGTGACCTGGGGATTTAGAAAAGCAGATGGAAACATGAGTCCGATCAACCTAGTACCTATGAAAGTTACTCATGGTGTCATCTTTCCTAAATAGGTTTATAAATGTGCTCACCATCTAGTCTGCTGGCAATATACACATAATGGGGGCCCCGGATGATGGGTGACCTGATACAACACAGCAGAGCAGATAGAAGAGCCCTCCTTTGGAAGCAAGAGACCTGAGTTAGCAACTGAACTCTGCCACCACACAGCTGTATGATCCTGGGCTAGTCCCTGGGCCTCAGTTTCCTTTTTTGAAAAATGAGGCTTGGTGTTAGATAATCACTAAGTTCCTTTCAGCTCTCAGGTTTTATGATCTCTTCTTAAGAGGCAAATGGATTAATTTCCAGGCAAGTACTAAACGTCCTAAATTACCGTCCTTTCAAGGAGCACCCCCTCCCCCACAAACTTTAGGCCAAGGACAATTCAAACTTCACACTGCTCCTGTTTCATCAGACAGGAACCCAATTAAAGATTCTCTGGGAAAGTATATCTGTCCTGCACCATAAACATAACCTTCTTGATAATACGTCAGCCTTGAAACCAGCCCTTTCAAAGAGCCTGTGTTTTCACCCTGCTCTTTATCTGGCGCTCAGTGCACTCTGAATCCTGTGCAAGGGTTACAGTGTAAAGGCTACTGCGCGCTGCCCTCTGAGCCACCCTTGAATCCATCAGCGATCAGTTATGAGCAAAGCCTCTTGGTTCTCGTCAAAATGTTTCTCTTGGCGTATCTGACACCCACGGCAAAGGCTTCACAGCTGAAGCAAAAGAATACAGCAACTGAAAACAACTGTCCTCATATTCAAATGTCAGTGGCATCCTTGACGCAATGCTGTGCCAGGCATCCTCTCTCAAACTGGACTGACCGCAGCTCACGACGAACCAGCCGGGCGGGTCCCGCACCGCCTCCAGCCTCGCCCAGCGGCAACGAGAAGGGGAGGGACGGCCGGGAAGACAGACGGACGGACGCGGTCATTAATTCGCGAATAATTTAAGGCTGTCCCTGCATCGCTTGGCCTGAAGACCGAAAGCCTTAAAGTCCCCAGGGTAGACCTAAGGGAGGTGGGGTGCGGAGGGCGATGCGGGGAGGTTGGGAGCAGTCGGGAAGGGGCTGCGGGTCCAAACAGGGGCGAGGGGCGGCCGCAAATGGGGGCCCGGGCTGAGCCTGGGAGCGCGATGGGCACGCGAACGAGCAGACGGGGGCGCGGCGCGAGC